CTAATTTTTTTACTTAGCTTTATCGGTGGAATGATACATATGTTAAAATTCATCTTTATTGTACTTAAATCTAGCAGCATATAATATTCACTCTCATGACAAAACCTATGTTACACTATAGTCATAAATGCACATAACTATAAATATTGTTCAAAAATATGAAAAATATATTTTAAAAAACTGATGAATTACATTTTCATATTATCTATAAAAACAAAATTTCAGTCATTTTCTTAATTCAAACATTATATTTAAACATCTTACTATCAGGTATGTTTACATAAACTTGAAAAACAGAACTTGAAGTAATTTTAATTAGGAATAAAACAAATGTATTGAAAAAAGTTGCAAATAATTATAAAAAATATAATAAACTATGGAATTATGCAATAATATAATTTTGTTTATTAAAAATAAATTTTAGATAATATGAACAACACCTATTTTCTAAAATTTGTTGTTGGATATTGACAATTAAAATAAAACATTCAAAGTGTAAGAAATGAATACATTTATTATACAAGCAATTTGTTCATTTGAAAGCCCAGAACCTTCCAATATAAAATCTTTTGTTATATGAACAAGTAAAATTTTAACTGGTCTAGTCAACTCAACTCTGACAGATAGTTTATATGTTTATAGAAAAATTATGGATTTAAAATATAAATACCATTAAAATAAAAAAATTATAGAGAGAAGTTATGCATACATAACACTTAATAACAAAATACAGTATAAGTAAATTAAAAAAATAGAAAACTTAGAAAAGTGTTTTTGCATAGTATATGCCAGACATAGCATATGCCAGACATAGCAAATGCCCGTCTGGCATATACTATGCAAGTTCTTGCTGAAAGTGTTAATTTCTGTTTTTATTATTATTTTTACAATTTTATTTCCATAATTTTGTGAAAATATGTTTATTAAAAAAATTCAATATTTGTTTAATATTATATAATACAATCATGGTACAGAATAAAAAAGTACAGAACTGCGGCTCCCATGCATTTTGCAAAACCTACATTTCAGCTCCCACTGAACTTTTGCTTGCCCACCCCTGGTATATGCTATAAACAATAGTATAATAATTCAAATTTGAATTATTGTTAGTTTTGGGTAAATTGTAAAAGGAAATGGAAATCAATTGTCTTTTTACATTTCCTATTGAGTGTAAAATAAATAAATAAGTAGTCCTCTTTTGTCAGAACGCAAAATATCCCGTATAAATAAATCAAAATTTTTCAAGTTTTTATCATTTTAATGAGTTGTATCTCTAACTGTATACATAAAACAATACTTATACTAACTGTTTATAAATGAAATCAAATTTCTAAACTCTCTAAAAATTTTAATTTTAAAATAAAGGCTTAAGTGTTTTTAAACTATTAATTTATAACTATTTATAATCTATGTACTTTTTAGTTTTAAAAAAATTATATGAAAGAATATATACCTCAGCTTCATTTAACTGTGCAAATGGACTTATTGTTATAGCAAATGGAACTGATGTCTGTTTCAACATATCTGATGTACAGGGAACATTATAAATCGTAGATCTCATAAATCGAGGACTGCATATACCTAAAAATAGTTACAAAAATTCTTAAAATATAAATCATGTTAAATAATTTAAAATGATTTATAAATTAATAACTTTGTTCCGTTTCTTGTTAGATTTTGTATTAAAAATAAAAAATATTAGAATGAATCATAATAACATTGTAAAGTATAATCAAGTAATACCAAGTGACAAGTGAGATACAAATACTTTGTGCTATAAAACAAAAATTCCCAGAAGTAAAATTATGTTTATTTAAAATTAAAATATGAAATCATGTAATAATTTACTCTTATTCAATTAGTACTTTTTTAAAATAGTAATAATATATAGAATACAAAATCATATGAAAAACAGTATAATAAAAATCTGAACTACAAATCAAACAATGTAAGTAATTTATAAAAAAAGTTCTTCTGGTATTAAACAAGAGTAAAATTACATGCAAACGTTTTCGGATCCCTCCCTGGGTCCTTCCTCAAGCAACTATTCTTGTTTAAAATTCGTTAGAACGAAGACCAGTAGAACAAACTTCTTCAAAACTGTGATATTCGAAAAACTACTTCTTCCGAATCACAATTCAAAAGACGAAATTCAAATATCAATGTGAATCATGTGCATTCCAGTATTTCGTAATGTAATGCTCGTTTTTCTTAAAAAGGTTTTTATGGATTTTTATGTTAACGAAAAAATAAATAAAGAAAAAATAAAATAGCATATCGGGAACTGGTCTACATTGGCGCTACTAAACATGCTATTGGTGTCAGATGGACTGAACACAGATGGGACATCCTCCACAAAAGGGGTTCTACGTCGTTATCCATGTATGCGTCAGACCCGGAGATTTCGGCAAACTTTGACAACGCCAAACTCCTCATTACTACACCGTTTATGGACCACCTCAAGTGGTTGGAACAAATGGAAATTTGCAAAGCATACAACACTTCCATATTAATGAGTTGTATCTCTAACTGTATACATAAAACAATACTTATNTCTGAATTTGAAGTTGCTTCAATTTCTGAAACTTATATGTTTTTTGAAAACAGAAAATTATTATTATTCATATTAAACATTTAACAATATAATTTATAAATTTTCAATACCAAATTAACATTCTTTGTATCTTATCACCTTATCAAATGGTGGAATTGCACATATCAATTTAAAAAAAATCATGTATTAGCAATTCTAGCAATAGAATTGTCATTTTGAAAGTAAAATATTCTAGAAAATAAAAACTAATGATATATAAATATAATTTTAAACTTTTTACTGAATAAAAACAAACTGAATTAAAAACAATTTTACATTCAAGTATCTTTTTTTTCTATACATAAATATTTTATGATATTTATTGACATTATTAGCCTATCACATGAGAAATACATTGTTCTTCAAAGTCAAAATACACTAAACATAATAATATTTTCACATAATAAAATAATTACCAACCTTCACATTATAGAAGTGGACAACATTGCTGTAAGTAACAAATCCAACTTTCATCTTTGATTTATCAACTCCATTCTCTCTATGAAAATTAAGAAAAAATTATAACATTAAATACACTTTCAGAAATTCATATATCAAATTTATTTTAAAAATTTGAAATTTATAAAAAATGTTTGATATTTGTATAATGTTTAAATACTTTCTATTTTTACACATTGTTATAATAATTATTTGAGTTGTTATGGCATATTTGCCAGAATCATGTTGACAATACTCCATCAAACTATAGCTCTCAAAAGATCCATGAGTCCATGGATCTTCTTTTGAGAGATGGAAGGATTTATTATTACCTTACAAGACTAGATCTTAAATAAGAAAACTACAAAACGTACATTTTAAAAGACATGACACTTATAGTAAGAAATGCCACATCATGCACAAACTATACAATGTATTGTACATATACACTAGACTGCAATCTTTTAGTACATATGGTACATCTTATGTACTAAAAGATTGGAAACATACATTAATGTAATCAAATAAAACAATAAATAAAAAGCTTGCAAATAAACATGAATTATTACAGCTACCATACTATAAATACACACTGAAGATAGTTTTAAAAAACAACATATACTATAATTGAGTCATAATCATAGCAGGCTAGACATCACATTCATTGATAAACAATCATAGATATACATTCCAAATCTCAATACAAAATATATATATAAAAAATTTAGTAAATATTCAGAACTTGAAAGCACCCATGAATAATAGCTAAGTTACTTATTGCCCCTGTCCTCTCTAGCACAGGAATCATCATACAAAAATCTGGAACACAGACCTTAACAACAGTATATACATCCCATTACAGAAAGCAGGCATTTAAACACATGCCAAATAGCCAGATATTTCTTAATACAGATATACACGAATGGCATAAACAAAATAAGTTTTTTTATGTAGCTATGCCATTACCTTGATCCATTATAGTACTAGGCATTAATATCACAATCCAACTAGGACACAATCCATAACATATTATTAATAAATGCTAAAATAACCTTGAAAAAATTAAATAAAAAAATTTTAATGTCAATATTATCAGTAGTTTAAAAAACAAACAAGGAATTCAGATGAATCTAGGGTGGCAACATGGTCAGAGTTGTTCTTGTTGTAACAGTATGACCTTCCAGATACAGAGTAAATAAACAGTATAAAAAAATAATTTCCATTAATGATATCATTGCTGATTTTATGAAGAAGGCCACATGCAGACTTGACAATATCCAATGACACAGGTCAGAGAATTAGTTATTTAGCTATTACTGCAGAGAATTAGTATTTGATAAAATCAACAGCTCACTTCTAAATAGTTCTCTGAAAATTGTTATATAAATTTCTGGTATTATTTCTTAAAAAAGAAATATTACCAGAAATTTATCAGCTTAAGTTACAGGTTCAAGTAAGGGTGTTTAATAATAGCAATTAAAATACTGATTGACATACAGAAAATGGAAGCAAACTAAAATTGAGACATGATTATTATTATTATTTTTTTTGGTGGTTTCTGGAAAAATTGTACTGATAAATGAATAAATACATTATGTAAACATTTTTTTTTTATTTTTAAAGACATTCTTCACAAATTCAGACAAAGGAAAAGCTGTTGATAACTTCATAATTGCAAGTTAAAATTGGAAGATATCCATAAAATACCGTAATCATGTACATATACCAAATCATCGCATAAGTTTTATCTGCTTTCAAACTGGCCTACAGATAACTCATGAATCATTCTTAAAAAAATTACAGTAATCTTTCTACCAAGTAATATATCAAATTTTACTTGTACAATAATACACTGAGTAAAAAAAAATAAGAACCTCTATTTATTTACTATGAATTTGCAATTATTTATAAATTTACTTACCTTGGTAAATTCATTAAAATTTTCTTCATATTTTCACATAATAATTTTACCATTCCATTTCTTATACTGTTATAAGAAACATCTATCATGAATATAAAGGCTGGAGGATTAGGAAATTGGCCATTCTGAAAATAAAATTTCATAATTTTGTTTTTTGTTTTGAATTAGCACACCTAATTATTTAAATGAATAATTTACCTTGCAATAATCCTTTGTAGCAATAAATTCATAAGAACCGAGACAAAGCTCTGGCCTTTGATATTTATCAGTTCTATCACCCATATGATCCAAATACGCAAAATATTCTTCTGGTACTAGAATATTTAAAGAAAAAAGAAAAAAAGATGAAATAAGTTATGTTCAAAATTAAGAATATAGAAGTATATCAAATAATAAAATATCATATATCTTGGTAACATAATATTATCATAAAAATAACTGCTTAAATCTGGGAAGCAAATGGATTATTTTATTTAGATATGGTCTCAAAGAAGAACAAAAACATTACTAAATAAAATCTTAACATTTGTATAGAGCATAATAAGAAAAAGGCAGACAAAAAAAATTAAAATATTATTAATACAAACTTTTAGGTTTGTATTAAAACTAATCTTAATTTTTGTCCTAGTATTTTTGTAAAGTATTTAGCAATTTTTCATGTAGGCTGCATTCACACTGCAAACAACAATACAGAAACTGATATTTTTATCATTCGTCTTTGTTTATAAAATGTTCACACTAGTCATTATTGTTGATCAAATATTCAAAAGGTCACCAAGATTCAACATTTGTTGTTGTTATAACGATACTGGCCAATCAAAGTAAACTTCTGACAATTCTTTGAACAAGATGGAAAAACTGCTAATTGTTTGTGTTGAAAAACAAGGTCCTATGAAGCTTAATAGATGGTCAAAAGTATTTGGAGACATAATGAAAATAATTTTTAAAAAATCCTTTGATGACTTTTAATTGTAATTTCTAGACCAAAGCATAGAAAGTGCATTGTGATTTTCTTCAATACAAATAGCTATGATTCACCATTGGCATTTTGATATTTTCCTTAATAAAAGTAATAAATTGATGTCAAACAATTAACATTTTAATCTGCATATCTAATTTTAAAACAGATGAGTTCGGTCTAAAAATGCAGAAAGCAACAGAATAACTCTAAGCCTAATGCAAGTTGTGCATGCTCTAAGAAGAAAACTAATGAACAAAGTGAATGCTTTGGTGATGAACAAGTACAATGAAAGACATGCTGTCATTTTCATTTAGGATTTGTCATTGTTTATGGTAGTATGAACATAGCCTTATATGACTTAAAAACCCGTTGATTATTATGAACAAGTTTTTAAATCATATAAATGAGAAACTGATAAATATTTTATAAAAAGAAACTCAAATATGATAGTTTATTGTATTAATATCAATATTTTAAATAATTAAAATTAATATGCTTTAGATAATTATCTAGAAAATATAATTTCATACTGCATTTTTCCTTTTAATCAATCATAAATTTAAAGTAATTTCTGTTTAGAATAAATATTTTTAGATAAAGTTTTTTATAATCATTTTTATTTAAATTATTTAGCTATTAATTTTTTTTACTGATTTATTGATAGCACACCCCACTAACTTGTACTAACAGGAGTGAAGGTTGTCCAAGTTTAAGAAAGTCTGAGTTAGCAAAGTGTTTTCTCCCAATGATGTGAAAAATGAGAGGGTGGATACAATGCAATAGTTTATTACAATCAGCTCTGTACAGAAGTTTTATTGAGCTTTAGTAGACTATACCAGCAAATTTATTGTTACAGAAAATGGGCTCTAAAAACTTGACGGTAGAATATACAGCAACATATAGTCTTTAGTAACTTACAGATTACAGTAATATAATACATGGTATCACAGAGACTTCCTGTATCAAAAACACAATGTAACTGTTATATGTATGTAAAAGACTGTAAAATGTATGTTAAGGTTTAAAATTATAACTGGAATGAATATCTAGTAAGAAAATCAATACCTTACTTAATTTTCCAGCAAAAGGAAATTTCAAATTGTATAATTTCAAACCTGAAGCAGGTTTATAAAATAAACCAAAAATATTTGTTATACAAACTCTTCATACTAGAAAATTATATAAAATTTATGTTAGAATGAAATTCAATATAGAACAAAAGTCTGTTTATTTATTGACTTGAATGATCTAAATAAAGGAAATAATTTGAATATTAAACTGAATTCAAGCATAAACATTTTGAAGCAAGTGATCAGAAGACAGAAGTGATCACATTTCTTTCAAGTTTCCATAAAAATATTTTCTCAACTATATCAATACTTAATTTTCTTGTTTAACTTATAAATGTCAATAATATTTCTAATGTTAAATGCCTTTAAAAATTATTAATAATAAACACACATTCTCCTTAGTCATATTTATAGCATTTCTTCTAGACATTCTTCTAGAATTTCTTCTATCTTAAAATAATTGATCTATTAATAAATTAGGTAAATATTTTGTTTGGAATACAAATTTTTTCATCTAACAGTATCAAATAATATTGTCTTTTTTCCCATCTTACTTAATGATGGTATTAATAGATAATTTTTGAAAATACAGTAAAGTTTTAAGAATATGTTATTTATTTTAAACTTTTCACTTATTTTATTGCTTTGTCTCTGTAAACTGCAAAAACATAGTAAAAGAATATTTATTCATGACACTTGATTATTACAAATTGTTTCATTGCTTTACTGCTTTATTATAGTCAAGCATTATAGATATCTGGAATAAAATCATTTTTTCTCTTGTTAGATTTATTAGTATTTCATGCCAAAAAATTTTAAATAATTTAAATAAAACAAGTAAAATGAAATTTATGTTTAATTAATAAAATTTTAACCACAGATAGAATATAGGGATAAAGTTTGCTAAACTTTTGCATAGGGACATTAGAACAAATGAAACTACTCCTAATGAACAAACAAAGTATAAACAAAAAAGAAAATGGAAGTTCTATTCTCCATTTTTCTTTGCTTCATTCACAGTGTGTATTTGTTCATTAGGTTCATTTATTCACAAACCATCTAATCTAAATGCATGGGAATTTCAATCTCATTGCATTTGCTATTTACAAGAAAATTTCATTCTTGTAAATATTGGTCAATGCTTCCTGTATAAAATATTTCATCTCAAATTGAAAAGAGAAATAAAATAACTTCCTGTATATGAAATACTCATAAATCAGGATTCACTACAATAGAAAATATTAATATTACCTTCAGTTGCACTTTTACAAAACACACATTGAAATCTTCTTCCACCATCAATGAATTGCATAAATGGACACATATATGCTTTACACCTATTACAACGAACAGGACCCAGATCACCAGGATTAGATATAGGTGGTGGTACCTAAAATATTTTATATATATTATAACTAATATCATAGTGAAGTTTTTTATTACCTACAAATTTAAACTTTTTCTATAACATTCGTATTTCTAGAAATGTTTTCAAACTTATCTTTTGTATTTCATATTTATTAGTCTTTTTACTTAATATCATATTAAATTGCAATAATAAAATATACACTGCAATATATATTTAAACATAATTAATTTTCTATTTTTCTATCAATAATTACAATTTTAAAACTAGGAAAAAATAAATGTTTGTTTGTGTATTGACTACATAACATAAACTGTTAAACAAAAATCACCTGCTATTTAAATCTTTGAATTACAGTGTAAGCTAAAATAAATATTATCATATAATAATTTTGTTATAATTACAACTATGAATTTTATAATTTATGCAAATTATTAAAAAATGTAATCTTTTTACAACAAATATTGATACAATAAAATTCTATGCATAATGAAAAAACTAAGTTCAGATCATTTTGTTGTAATACAACAAAATATATTCATTGAATATTTGAATTACAAAAACAATTATAATAAATACAAAAAACACAATATCAATAAAACAATCTGTAACATACATTGTACAGTACATCGAACACGGTTCATGTTTCTAATTTTTTTACTTAGCTTTATCGGTGGAATGATACATATGTTAAAATTCATCTTTATTGTACTTAAATCTAGCAGCATATAATATTCACTCTCATGACAAAACCTATGTTACACTATAGTCATAAATGCACATAACTATAAATATTGTTCAAAAATATGAAAAATATATTTTAAAAAACTGATGAATTACATTTTCATATTATCTATAAAAACAAAATTTCAGTCATTTTCTTAATTCAAACATTATATTTAAACATCTTACTATCAGGTATGTTTACATAAACTTGAAAAACAGAACTTGAAGTAATTTTAATTAGGAATAAAACAAATGTATTGAAAAAAGTTGCAAATAATTATAAAAAATATAATAAACTATGGAATTATGCAATAATATAATTTTGTTTATTAAAAATAAATTTTAGATAATATGAACAACACCTATTTTCTAAAATTTGTTGTTGGATATTGACAATTAAAATAAAACATTCAAAGTGTAAGAAATGAATACATTTATTATACAAGCAATTTGTTCATTTGAAAGCCCAGAACCTTCCAATATAAAATCTTTTGTTATATGAACAAGTAAAATTTTAACTGGTCTAGTCAACTCAACTCTGACAGATAGTTTATATGTTTCTTCAATACAAATAGCTATGATTCACCATTGGCATTTTGATATTTTCCTTAATAAAAGTAATAAATTGATGTCAAACAATTAACATTTTAATCTGCATATCTAATTTTAAAACAGATGAGTTCGGTCTAAAAATGCAGAAAGCAACAGAATAACTCTAAGCCTAATGCAAGTTGTGCATGCTCTAAGAAGAAAACTAATGAACAAAGTGAATGCTTTGGTGATGAACAAGTACAATGAAAGACATGCTGTCATTTTCATTTAGGATTTGTCATTGTTTATGGTAATATGAACATAGCCTTATATGACTTAAAAACCCGTTGATTATTATGAACAAGTTTTTAAGTCATATAAATGAGAAACTGATAAATATTTTATAAAAAGAAACTCAAATATGATAGTTTATTGTATTAATATCAATATTTTAAATAATTAAAATTAATATGCTTTAGATAATTATCTAGAAAATATAATTTCATACTGCATTTTTCCTTTTAATCAATCATAAATTTAAAGTAATTTCTGTTTAGAATAAATATTTTTAGATAAAGTTTTTTATAATCATTTTTATTTAAATTATTTAGCTATTAATTTTTTTTACTGATTTATTGATAGCACACCCCACTAACTTGTACTAACAGGAGTGAAGGTTGTCCAAGTTTAAGAAAGTCTGAGTTAGCAAAGTGTTTTCTCCCAATGATGTGAAAAATGAGAGGGTGGATACAATGCAATAGTTTATTACAATCAGCTCTGTACAGAAGTTTTATTGAGCTTTAGTAGACTATACCAGCAAATTTATTGTTACAGAAAATGGGCTCTAAAAACTTGACGGTAGAATATACAGCAACATATAGTCTTTAGTAACTTACAGATTACAGTAATATAATACATGGTATCACAGAGACTTCCTGTATCAAAAACACAATGTAACTGTTATATGTATGTAAAAGACTGTAAAATGTATGTTAAGGTTTAAAATTATAACTGGAATGAATATCTAGTAAGAAAATCAATACCTTACTTAATTTTCCAGCAAAAGGAAATTTCAAATTGTATAATTTCAAACCTGAAGCAGGTTTATAAAATAAACCAAAAATATTTGTTATACAAACTCTTCATACTAGAAAATTATATAAAATTTATGTTAGAATGAAATTCAATATAGAACAAAAGTCTGTTTATTTATTGACTTGAATGATCTAAATAAAGGAAATAATTTGAATATTAAACTGAATTCAAGCATAAACATTTTGAAGCAAGTGATCAGAAGACAGAAGTGATCACATTTCTTTCAAGTTTCCATAAAAATATTTTCTCAACTATATCAATACTTAATTTTCTTGTTTAACTTATAAATGTCAATAATATTTCTAATGTTAAATGCCTTTAAAAATTATTAATAATAAACACACATTCTCCTAAGNGCTATTTTATTTATTCTTTATTTATTTTTTCGTTAACGTAAAAATCCATAAAAACCTTTTTAAGAAAAACGAGCATTACATTACGGAATACTGGAATGCACATGATTCACATTGATATTTGAATTTCGACTTTTGAAATGTGGTTCAGAAGAAGTAGTTTTTCGAATATCACAGTTTTGAAGAAGTTCTAACGAATTTTAAAGAAGAATAGTTGCTTGAGAAAGGACCTAGGGAGGGATCCGAAAACGTTTGCATGTAAGTTTACTCTTGTTTAATAACGGTTAAAGGGTTTGATGAGGGATTATTTTTGTTTTTTAATCCGGTATTTGAAGATTCTTTATTTAAAGTTCTTCTGGGTTTAAAATTAGTGGTTGTAAGTTTAATTAGGAATGGCTTCTAACTTTCTCATCAAGCAAAATTCATAAGAATCCACTTCAAGATATATACAGAAAATAAAATATCAGTGTTTCATAATGAATGTAAATGCAAATTTAATAATAGATCTCTCTATTCTTATCAATCAATTCGCTTTTAATAGTTCTTAAATAAAACGTTTTTTGTTAATTTAAAGTATTTAAATTTATATTTTAGTTAAGAATTTAATCATCGGATTTTTATTAAAGAAATCATGATATTTAAAAAAAACACGAACAAGTAAAGAAAACAAGAAGAAACAACTTCTATGAGCAAAAAAGTATCTAAAGAATCCAGTTATGTTTTGGAATCATGTTATTTGATCTGATGAAAGTAAGTTTAACCTGTTTAGACATAAGGGTGCTAAAAAAGTTTGGAAAAAACAGGAGAATCATTTAATCAAATATGTACTAAACCATACTAAACCAACTATGAAACATGAAGATGGTTGTATGACGGTTTGCATGTATGAGCAGGAAAGAAATTGGAAACTGGTGTTTATTGATAACACCATAAGAAAAGAATAATACTTAAAAATATTGCATGAAAATCTTTTTACTTTAGCTATCAAATTAGGAGTAAAACAAATTTTTGTCTTTCAATACATAAAGCTAGGTAGTGAAAGAATATTTAAAATCCAGGATGTTATCATTTTGGATTGGTGTGGATGAGAATCCTATTGAACATCTGTGGGAAGAAATAAAAAGAAAAGTAGCCAAGAAACATCCAAAAATCAAAGATGAGTTGAAACAGATGATAACAATTGGCATGGAATGAAACTGACCCTAAAGTCTGAAAAACCAGTTACAAGTATGCCTTGTCATTGCAAAGCAGTTATTAAACAAACAGGAGACTAAACAAAGTACTAGAAAGTTTCAATATGACAAAACTATATGTTTGTAAAGCAAAGTTTGTCACTGTACCAATAAACTTCTTGCATAATTTTCAACAGTATTTTGTTTTGTGATTTTTTTGAAGATTGTATTTATTTTAAAATAGAAATAAATGTATATAAACATGGATGGTTTGTAGTTTACAATATGTAAGTTTTAGAAAGCTTAAAACTGTACTTTTTGAATCTATTAAAAGTGAAAATTTTACAACATGCCAATAATATTTTGTTGACTGTATATTAACATGCCTCAAGGTGAAGAATGAAGAGCTTAGTGAAACAGAAATTTATGAAATTATCATATTTAAAGTTGAAGGAAGACCAGAGAGAGAAATTGCTAAATAAACTCAAAAGTCAAAGATTGCAGTTCATTATGTTATTAAACAAGGAGTTAATAATGCAAAAGAGAAATGATTAAAATTAAAACACTTAGTGAAAAAGAATGAAATATTCAAAATAAAGCAATACAAAGAAGAAAATCTACAAGAGCAATTGCTAGAGAAATAATCATGGTGATATCTCATGAAATTATATGGAAGACAAGAAGTCTGATCATATTTAAATATTTCAAACTGAAGACAAAACCAAAATGTAGAAAAGTGCATGTTGATGCAAAATTAAAATGGGCTAAAAATGTTATGCCCTGATCAAAAGAATAAAGTAATTTTTTCAGATGAAAAAGTTTAATCTTGATGGAATGGAAGATAACACTTATTACAGGCATGATACTTGGAAAGAATCCTGGGAAAGGTTCAGTAAATTTGGTGGTTGCTCATTAATAGTGTGAGTGATATTTTCTTCTAAGGGAAAGAATATTTGGTCTTTGTAAATGGCAGACCTAATTCAAAAACTTATCAGGAACTCCTAGAAACACATCTTTCAACAGGTCATTTGATAGTAGAATATAATTGTGTTTTTCAACAAAGTAATGCCAGCTATCATATTTCTAACTCTTCAAAACAACAGATTCGTAAATAAAAATATCATTTTAGTAGAGTGGCTAGCATTAAGTGCTGATCTGAACTCTATGAAAAGCCTATGGGGACTACTAATGTCAATGGTATATGAAAATTTGAAGTAGTATGCATCTGTTGAAGCATTTAGAAGTGCACTGAATGAAGCTTGGGTGAATCATGCCTGAAACTAAAAAAAATTGATGGATACATGCCAAATATTGTGTTTTCATTCATTTCAAAAAATGGAAGATCTGCTAGTTATTAAAATAACATAATTTGGAATTAATGTTTACTGGTCTTATAATTATGTTACAGATAAGTTTCCTATCATTCAAACACTTTCTTTAAAGTCAATGTACCTTCTTGATTTTGAATGGTTGGCGTACTGAAATGAGATGCATATGCTGTAAAAATTATGTACTTAAAATAAAAGGCAAAAGTTATTGTGCATTGTTCTTTCATCATAGATTTCTTACCGGTCTTATAATTATGTTATACACTGCATTAGTCAATTATACATAGAGTAAGAGTTTTAATTCAAATTCATCTTTTACCTCCATCTTGAACTGTAAAATCAGTAGTCACTAAAGGAGGAACCTGACCTCTTGTGCTGGTACAAAATTCACCTGATCTATTCTTTTTATCATCTTCAATTACTTGAATCTGTAGAATAAAGTGATTTAAGTCAATTATAAAAACAAAACAATTGTTTTAAAAATGCAGTTTTTAAATTTTTATTAATATTTGAAATAAAACATACATTGATATAGTTAATATTCTTAATCATTATCATTTTTCCTACATAACTGTACTGTACATCATAAATCTACAATTTCATTATTTCAGTATCTAAGTAAGATGCTATTGAAAATTAAAACAATGTGTAACTACACTCATTACAAAAAGTTAAATACCCAGACAGAAATGTCTAATTATTGCAAAACTTAGCATACAGCTATGTTTTGCAGTAATTAGACATTATTATTTAATGTGTTTGATTGAACACCAAATAATGCCATCATAGTGCCTTAAAATTGTTATTCCAATAAACCATAAAAAACTTGCAGAAACTCACTGTATTCAGAATTTTCAGTGTACCTACTGTTTGAAGATCATTGAATGCCTTTGTGATGCAATCAAAAATATTACAGACAGCTGACAGAATTTATGAAATCCTACATGGTCATTTCATCAAATTATCTGCAATCTGGGTTGTTCTGACCTGAATGTGAGGTCTTGGGGATAATGGTTATATGAGGACATATATACATGATGAGCAGGATCTGGACACTCCAGACACATCTATCAAGACAGATGATGGTCTGATCATAAGACAAGCACAAACAGTTGCAATAGTGTCATAGTTCACCAACAGATCTTGTTATAGAACCCTGTCTCTTCCCATACCATTTACAGGTGACCAGCAGAGGCAAATACATACCCTGTCATTAGCACCCCAACACTATTGATTTTGTTTGCAGTGGGATCGTAACAGAAAAGCATGGGCTGGCAGCATATCATCTTTAATAATAAATCCTACTCTGTTTGGAAACAGATGATCAAAATATTAGTCTACAGGACCACTAGTGAGTGTTTAATTCTGCCTTTACTGTTAAGTGAAATACTGCTCCACTGCTAAAGTATTAGTCTGGAGAGCCATCTCATAAACAGTCAGTTACCCTTAGTAATGATACAAGAGCATTAACAGCATGACAATATGTTCAGAAAATCCTGCATTCTCATGTGTTGCCTTTCATGATAGGGCTATAAACAGCTATTTTCTGACAAGATAATGCTCAGCAGCAAGGATTTCCAGGAATATATCCTCCATATTGTCACACTTCCATGGCTTCCCAGTCTCCAAATTTGTAGCCCATCAAATATTTGTGAAATCAGAAGGAACAACAGCTTCAGCTATCTATGAGTGTAAATGTCTCTACGTCAGCAAGTCTGCATACTGACTGTATTGCTACATATATTCAGACAAGAGGAGATTCTACAAGGTACTAAAGGTTTGTTTAAATTGTACTATGTACAATTTAAACAAATATTTAGTACCTTAAAACTGAAGGCATTCTCAATTTACACTCATTGACAAAAAAGTACACCATGAAAAAAGTATTTGAATCAAATGAAACTTTATTAGTGCAAACATAGTGACAATGTAATAAGTGATTACAATATTCTAGCAAAGGGACCTGTGGAACATGGTTTGTTTAAATTGTACAATCCTTCAATTTTAAGTTTAATCAAAATTAAATGCAAATAAACTCTGTGTCAAGCTGATATTAAATTAAATGAAGAGACTCACAAATATAATCTAATTGTTTTAATCATAAAGTATTAATAACAAGTTACATTTAAATAAAAGCATTAATTACCTTTCAAATGCTTATAATCTTTTCATAAACAAACCTCATGAAATTTGATAAATTTGTAAAGTGAAGCAACCACCGATTACATTTGGCTACTTTTCCACAATTATATTTTAATTAATTACTAAATAATTCCTCTAGTGGCAATTATTTAGTAATTAATTAAAATATAATTGTGGAAAAGTAGCCCAATGTAATCTGGTAGTTCTTTGACTTTATAATTTTTTCAACAAAGTATAAGTAATTTTATTGTTTTAAAATTATCTAATTTCATTAAAATATTTTATAATAATATATTAATCCTTAAGCATATTTTTTAATGGCATATAAGACACACTTCCATTTTAGCACAAAATATTTAGAAAAACTTTTTAATGCATTTAAGCCACAAGCACCTTTGGCACTCAGCACCATTTTTTTTTTTTTTACTGAATTCTGGTTTTAAAAAAAGTAAAATTAGAATGTACACTTATTTATCAAGAAAAAACAGAAGTTTAAAAGAAGTCATTTACTATTAAAATATTATACTTGAATACATACAAAAACAACTTAGCTGTAACAAAAAATAAATAATATGTTTAATTAAACAATATCATTTTTATTCAAGAGCTGGGTTAGGTAGAGATTACCTAGAGCCTACTAAATGCTGTATGGGAAATTCATTAACCTAGAAGAGATGCAGCTTCACATATAAGATTTAGAGCAATTTTTTTTTTTTTTGGAGATAAGGTGTCTTGTATGTCATAAAATACAGTAATTGATGTTTCAAAATAAAATACAGCAAAAAAGCTTTACAATTAGAAATAAATACAGAATTATAGATACAATTTTATAGATAGAATTACCTATAACCATTTTTTATGAAGAGATCAATTGTAGTGATTATTAACTAATTTAGTTTTATATCAAAAAGATATGCAACTGAGAGTTGTAACTATGTGTATCAAAATAAAAGTATTATATCCTAGTATTATTTATTACTTATTTGTTTATTATTACATTTATATACTAATGTGTTATATTTATTACATATTAAATGAAAAAATTGATTTGTCTAAAATATAATAATTAGAGAACTAAATACAAATACAAGAAAATATTTGCTTTTAGATAAATGAAAAATTATTCACAGTTTTTAATTAACAGTTTACTTTTTAATGAATTTACAGATAAAGAAACAAAACTGATTACTCAAATTTATTTGTTATTTGAATTTAATCAACATTAGCAAAATATTATTATATATAGAAACAGTACATTAATATAAAAACTGTACTTACAGGACTAGGCATCTGATCAGGATCAAGTCTTCTTTGAAGCTGTGGTGGTGGTGGAGACTGAGGTACAGGACCACTCATTCTATTAGCAGATGGCATTCCAGGTAATGGAGGGGATCCAATTCCAGACTGATTATACTGAGATTGATAATTTGGAGGAGTTGATCCAGTTGGTGAAATTAATGGCTGATGAATTTGAGATGATACAGGAGGATAATGTTCCTGCAGAGATGACATTTTGGACATTGGTGGATATTGTCCCATTGGCTGAGGTGCAGTCATAGGATACTGCTGCATATTATTCATTGATGGCCCTAATGAACTTGGTGGTGGTGGTAGTGGTGGCAAAGATCCAGGATTTGATTGCATCTTATTAGTAGAATTACTGTAAGGTACAGGTGGTGGTTTTTGACTAAAAGCAGCTGCATTTGTACCAATACCTGATGATACTGATGGTGAATTATTAACTGATGAATTTAATGGAAGGCCATATGATGGACTTGAGAACTGTGTTGTAGGGGGTAATGGAGCTTGATTCTGAAGCACATTAGTTCCTTGATTGAAAGTTGAATGCTGTGATTGAGGAGGAAGAGGTGGTGGTGGAGGAGAAATAAAATCTCTGTTTGATTGAGTATACGTGGGAACTGAAGGAAAAGCTGATGCAGGCATTGGCTGATAGGCACTGCTTGTAGAATTTAAATTTGGCAATGGACCAAAGTTACTTCTCACAGGGGGAACTGAAGGATTACCAAAACTTTGTGAATGTGCAGGTACTTGTGATAATGTCATATTATTGACTTGCTGACACAACTAAAAATAAAAAAATATTTATTGGCATTTTGAAGTATTTCAATATAAGAAAAATGTAATTATATATTTTTCATTTTATTAGGTAAAAATGTTCTTCAAATAACTGTTCAGAAAAAAACTGTTTAATTATAATTATTTACTAAAAATATAATAATAAACATTTTCCTTCCTTTTATCATGGCTATGCATTTGTATATAATCTTTTTTTCTTAATCATTTCACAATTCAATAATCATATACTAGGATATTATTATAAAAAAATAAGACATAAAAAACTGACACACAAACTGGAAATATATATTAAAACAACCACTTCACACCTAAGTGATAATTCCAGCAAACGAACAATAAAAAAGGTTTAATGTTCAAACGTTTTTGGCCGTCTTTCAGAGGCACTCGTCATGAAAAATTGCAAAGAATAGAAAAAACAGTTCTATCTCTAACAGTTTTCAAACATAGCTGTGTTCCAATTTTTGAACATTAAACCTTTTTTATTGTTCGTTTGCTGGAATTATCGCTTAGGTGGTTGTTTTATAAAAAATAATTTCTGAAAATTAATTTTTTTTGTTTAACATCCTTCTTTAATGCAAAGCAGGTTTGTTTAGTCTATTTCTTTATTTTGCAATAAAAACTGAACAAGTATGTTTATTTAATATATGCTATCAAATAGCATACTTAACATATTTTTTGCCATTTTTTGACAGGCAGTATCATGCATTGTTTTTCCTAATATATCACATTTATTTCTATCATTAAATACAAAAAAAAATAAAATTTCTACAGGAATTTTTTTATTAGAATAGAAATGTTTGTTTTCCACAGTTTAGTTAATATTTTGAAAGATTTTGGGGATAGACTCTGATATTGAATATGTTGTATGATCATGCACAAATTGCCTGTTCTAACATTACTTTAATCACATTCTTGAGTTTTAGTTTGGTCATCATGTAGACTACATGTATTTCAGTTTTAATGCTAAAACTACACTAATATGATCTTAATTTTATACTTACAGGACATTATTTTTGCTTAAGATATTTTACTCAAAATTCTTTATGATATATCAAGTAATTGTAATTAATTGTAATTTTTTGTCAAATATTTATCTATAACTAAGCCTACTTCTTTGTGAAAGAAATAATAATAAATATATAAATATTTTTTTTACCAATCTGAAACCGTGTTGTCATTCTTATTTGTTTCTTAAACACTATGTAGTGTAATAACATAGTGTTTAAGAAACACTATGTTATTACACTACTATGTATCAACTGAATTGGAAATAAATAGATGAAAGAATGCTAAATGATCAATTAATTACACTACATAGTGTTTAAGAAACAAAAAATATATATCTATATATAATTAATCATGAAAGAAATAAAATGTAAGAAACAAATATAAATACAAAATGTATTACAAATTTACTTTTTTGAAATGGTAGTACAGATAAATATTTATACTTCTTTCAATTAATGGTTATACAAAAGAAAAACTGCAATATTCTATATAAAATATGAAATATAAATATGAAAAGACATTTAAGGAATATGGTACTTTTGTTGTCATAACACTAAATATACTATATGTCTTCTTTTAACAACTCAATCTCCCTACTTTCAAAAGTGGAAGTGTCTAGGAATGACAACAACTTTATAAATAGATGGTATCACTTCAGCAATATTTTTTGCAGATCAAATCAGAAACAGATGTGATGTATCCCAAGGCAACATGCATGGAAGAGAAACAAAACAAGAACTGACTAAAATACAGTGAAAATTGGTAAATATCTTTAAATTAACTAAACAGTGATTATAAATAATTTTTAAAAAATTGTAATTTATATAAAATTTTTTGTTGCCTAACCAGTGACAGAAATCAGCATCATGCCTTGGAAAACAAACATTTCTATTCTAATAAAGAAATTCCTGTAAAAATTTTATTTTTTCTGTATTTAATAACAGAAATATTTTTTAGAGAGAGAAGAAATCTATTGTTTTACAGATATAATAAGCATTTAATTCAGAATATGAAAATGTCAAATATAACCACTCTCATTTTCCTCTCTTATAAATGACAGTGAATATATTAAACAAAACATATAATAGAATGCATTTCACTTTCATTTATTAATTTGTTGATTTGCTATTATAAAATAATATTAATATAAAATATAAATAGAAAATTCAATGATTTCAAACATATAACAGTAGGGCCTATATCCATTTGGAAGTAATATGTATTGCAAGATAGTTAGGCATATTTTTATTTAGAAATACAAGTAGAGAGTCTGTTAAAATAAAGTTGCAGTTCTTTTATTCTTATATTTTCACCAAAAAATTAATTATAAAATAAATGTTGCTAAATATTTTAATTTGTTCATTATTGATTTTTCATTATTATATTTTGTACTTCATTACATTGAAAAAATGATAAAAATTTGCTTACTTATTTCTAGTGGGATCAAAAAGCTTAAATGTTTTGTAATTATCAGAAAAAAACTTAAAATAGAAAAATTAGTAATGTGATAAAAGAAAACTTATCTGTTATCAAAACTGTATAGTGCTATATTGAAAATATATAAAATAACATTTCAATTATTTTAGAAAAAAATTCATAATTTTTTTCCTTTCTCTCAAAAATTTCATAGACTATTTATACATATTTTTTTAATAATTTAGATTAAATGTCCATCCTGTTGTATTTGTCATATTCTTGTTCCTTATTTTTTTCATTTTCTATGCTCAATTCTGGTTATGATGTTATATATTGAACTGATATATCATCAAATTTTATCAGTTAGAATTATAAATTTTTCTAAATGAATTATATTCACATGTAATATAATTCATTTAGAAAAATTGTACAAAATTTTATTTAAATAAATTGTTATATTTTGGTTTTTAAATTGATTTTAAATCTATTGAATTCTCTGACAGTGCACTGAACAGCACAAGTGCTGTTCAGTGCACTGTCAGAAAATTTTAACTGTAAATATATGTTGCTGCATCGAACACAATAAAGTGCTATAAATTAAGACACTTGGCGGATTTTCTCATCTTTATTTAGTTGATACGTGTGAAAGTAAAGATGTATCAACTAAATAAAGATGAGAAAATCCGTCAAGTGTCTTAATTTATAGCACTTTATTGTGTTCAAAACAGCAACAAAATTTAAAGTACGGTTTCATATCATTAAAATAAAATGTAAATGTAAGTATTTTATAAGAAGGATGTGATATATTACTTCTACATTCTAGTATACAATTGTTTTACAATTTTAAATTTTTATCTGAAAAATTATTACTAAAGAGTTGAAAATGCTTGTTTTTTATTTAATTTATTGCTGAAAAATATAGATCATCATTATTTTTTAAATTCAAAAAATGTCACACAAAGAAATGTAGAATGTCGAAGTAAACTGAATGTTTATAAAGTACAGTATTATAATGAAACAGTTAAATAAAAGAAATAAATTCTGTTAATTTTTGTAATTCTAAACTTCTGTATATTCTGAATGCATTTCCTTTATAAAATTTCTGTTTTAATTAAAACTGCATAAGTTTCGAATTAAATATTAAATATATGAGCTAAAAATGTATTTTTAAAAATTTTCAACTTATAAGTTCTAAAAATGTTTTTGCTTAAATTTAGTTGTTTTGTTCCTTTTGTAACATTAATAATATTCATAACAGTGCAAAAAACACAATTATCAAATTAATACATATGGAGATTTATTATCTATCAATTACTCAATCAAAACTGTAAACATTTCAAAACCAAATTTGTAAACGCTTTTAAATAATTTTAATATACATTAGGTCCTCAATTTAACAGACTTCAGATTTATGATTATTAATGGATAAAAATTTTCTACAGAAACTTTAGAGCCTTTCTTTTTTTTATTTGCAAACAGATCAAGCTAAAAGGATATGTCAATAAGTTAGCATTAGCGGTCGAAATATACTATTAGTTATATTGTATAGTTTTTGACGAGAAACAAAATTAAAATAAAGTTTTGTTTTTACAATAAATTTATTTTTATATTTTTAACAAATATTTTATTGGTATATATAAATTACTAAATGTATGGTAATGGTCAAGGAAATTGCATTACCTATGAAATATACCAAAAATTGTTCAGCAGATGTGTAAAGTAGCATATTTAAGCTAAGATTGCAATCTGAAATAATAACAATTTGTTGTATACAGAAGTAACTAATAAAAAGAAAATGAAACTTATTACATATACTGCTATACTAAACTTATGTGTATTTTACATCACAACTTCACCATTCCTGTTAATGGGCTTTGACACAAGAACATACCATTCATAATTATGGAAGCAAAAAGAGTTCACAACATACACCTGAAAAACATAACAATTATATTAATTCTTGTTGAATAGGATTCTAACATTTTGTAGGAACCACCTCAAGCATTAGTTAATAGCTTTGTAGCACTCTGGCATAGAGTAGATGAGTTAGTTTGAGTATTCTATATCAAAATCTTCTAATACACTCCTGTAGTTGTTTAGTTTCATACCAATTCTTTCCAATTTTCATGTCCTTATTATGCCAGCAGTTCTTAATAGGATTGAGATCAGAACTGTTATTTGGCTGCTTAAGTGTCTTATCTTAACCATTTGTAGGAATATTTTTTTATCTAAACAATTTGTCAGTTTAAGTTACAATAATGCTAACAAACTATATAAGAAGAACATATTCTATTTTTCTCACCATCTTAGCTTGGTGACATGACACAAGTTGTCCTAGAAGATTCAGGAATTTGTGTTACAAAATTGTTCCTTGATTGTTGGAATTAGCTTGGCAGATAAGATGTTTTTTGTAACACTTTGTATTCACAAACCCGTTTACAAAGTGTCTACATCTTTACTGGATCTCCACACAATAATTAACAACTTATTGACATTAGTGGTTGTTGTTGTTGTAGTCAGTGTGGTCTACATTGATCATCTATCCTGACCTTAAAAATAAAACACCTTCCTCTCAAATTTCACACAAAGCTGATGTTAATCAGTGTAAGTTGAGATAATTTACAGCAAGTTTCTAAAATTTGATGTGTATATTTTTTTAGTTTTTGAATCCAATTACAATCAAATAAACAAAAAAAGAAACTTTCAGAATTCCAAGAGTATTTTATATCATTACAAAGAAGACAAAATGAAGAAATTAAACATATATTCATAGTTTTGGATGTAATGTCGACAGTTTCACAGTTTTAGAATAAAAAATTGCTTGTTTTTATGAGATGTAACTTGTTCTTTTTTTCTTTTTAATACCCTCTAGAAAATGATGTATAACCTCACTTAAACCGGCATGCCGGTATTCCCCTGGGATAAATTGGCATGTTGGTTTTTACTATACAGAAATATCTGATTTCATGGTCTCCTCAGACAGACTGACATGCCAGATAAGCTGTTAAAATATGATAAAAGAATGCTGTTTAACCCAGATAAGCTGATATCTATAAAACTTAATCATCATTAATGGCTTCTTATATTGATGATAGACTTTTAAATCTGTTTCACAAAATTGCACAGTTCACATATTCACTTTTATGCCTGTCTTGCTCTTTCCACTTTACTGAATGTAAAGTGTTCAAAAGAATTAGCAATTCATTGTTGCAGACTGAGATGATTCAGCATCCTATCTTGAACAGTATAGTCTACCCTATGATCTGGTTTTTGTTTCAATATTCATGTCTCCTTTGTGACAAATGAACTATTGTTGATTGATGACAATGCAGATTTTGCACTATTTCACAAGAGGATAAACCTTCAGCATTCAAAACAACAATTATGGACATTTTATGCTGTTAATCATCAAAAACTTTTTATTCATACTTATATATTATAACATTAACACATCCTGTATATTATAAATTCATTATTAACATGCATTTTTAATATATGATACATTTAATTTAATAGGCTTTTGACAATAGCAGATACCCCTTCCGCAATCAATCTGTTAAACTGAAGGCCAACTGTACTGGTTAATTTTATAATTTATAAAAAAAAAAAAACCTTAAAATCAGTTTGTAATTATAATTAAAAATTATTACAAAGTTTAATGAAAACAAAACCAAAACTCTAAAAAATATGAATTTTACAATTAATGAACAATGAGAAAATTTGTGTTAGGACCTAATATAAAATAGCATGAAAAATATTAATAGTAAATCTATCAACTTACTTTTACATAATATTCAACAAATGATTAGCAATTAAAAATTAAAAAAAATATATATATATTGCTAATCATTCATTGAAATTTAAATTATATATATGACTTAAATTTAATTACAATATTGCACTTTTTTGTGTGTAATACTAAAAATATTCTGTTAGTATCTAGAGACATTTGCTTTTCATACAATAATACATTTTAAAACAAATCATATTTCTAATTCAATAATAATTATATGGTATTTTCATGTAATATTTTAATTATTTAATTTTAAAAAGTGCTATGTTCTATAAATTTATTAATTAATTTAAATATAATGTTTAAATTATTAAAAATATTGCATTATTACTTTTTATTTTATGAATACATTTATCAAAAAATTATGCATTAATATTTATCTTACTTGATCAGTGTTGCTTGTTCCAACTCTAGATGGATATTTCTGCTGAAATTGAGACTGAGATGTTAACATGCCAGATGTTGGTACTGATTGATTAGAAACTGCAGGACCATTTTGATTATAAAAAGGAATGGATCCATATGCTTCAGTTTGTTTATAATTAGATTGAATAAACCCTACAAATTTTAATATTTCCAAATTATTCAAAAATACCATAATGAAAGTCTGTTTATATTAAATAAAACAAATAAGTACATATTAAAAACTTAACACATTTTGCTACTACAGTAAAACTGCAATTTAACAAACAAAATTTCCAGTCCATATATCATATGCAAACACCTTGTTAATTTTAAAATGTGTTTTATATGTAATTAAATTAACATATTATTGTTTTCAAATCCAAGAGTCACTGCTCTTAACTCATGCCATAATGGGAGATATACAGGGTGGACCAAAAAGAATATATGTATTTCAAACTGATATATTTAATAAACTGTAAGACATACAATTATGGAACTTGGGACACATATTTATGAAACTCTCTAGTTTAGATTACAGGTGTTCAATATGTCCTCCACCAGCGACACGAACGGTCCAGGCGGGAGTTCCGTCCGGGTGTCCGGGAACTGGGGTCTGGGTGGGAGTTCGGTCCGGGCTTCATAACTAACCTGCGTCTCAAAACACACCAAACTGTTGTTTTAGGCAGCTGCAATTCCCGACTGGCACGATGTGTTGATTTTGAAGGGCTACGTTGGTAAGCAGCTTGAATCCGTGCAACATTTTCTTCAGATACACGACGTCGGCCAGGACTCTTTCCTTTACATACACAACCTGTGTCAACAAACTGACGGTACCATCTGCGAATGTTCCATCCATTCGGAGGATCAATTTCATACCTCAACCGGAAACGTCTTTGCACTGTAATCGTGGAATTACACTTCGCAAGCTCAAGAATACAAAAGCTTTTGTGCTGTGGCGTAGCCATTTTACAACAACTGTGAATACGTCATTGTAACCAAGCACAACTGACATCTGGGGACAAACTAGACAATGCACTCGTTCCTCCGATACCCGCAGCACACCGCTCCTATCGATAGTTTAATAAATATATCAGTTTGAAATACGTATATTCTTTTTGGTCCACCCTGTATTACCAAAGATGAATAAATAGGAATTTTTTCTGTGTTTTTGTCAAATTTAAATTTTGTTTTCTTTTTAAGATTATTATTTATTTGTTTACTTAACTACAATTAAAGTGTAATTTCCAAAAAATGCTTGTTTATTCATTTTGATTTAGATCATACACTATTTATTATAATCTCAGAACTTTGGTGAGTATGTACAGTATAGTACATAAGCAATAATACATATAGAAAACTTTTCTGTAAAATTAAACTTCATAGGTACTTAATTTTAATTACAAATGTATCAACTTAATAAAAAATAAATAAAACTAACTATAAACATCAAATTTAAATATGTTTGAAAGAGGAGATCAGACTGGAGGCTCAGGTTGTCTAACAGGCAACACATCCACATGGTAAGCAGGAGTTACGGGTTCAAGTCCTGCTCCAAGCTGATTCTTTTCGTCCAGAATTTTTAAATTTATTTAATAAATATTTATTTAATTATAATTATTAAATTTAACAAGAGATGACACCTAATGCCTCCCTCTAGTGACAAATTATTTAGTAATTAATTAAATATAATCACAGAAAAGTAGCCCAATGTAATTTGGTGATTGTTTGTTTGGATAAACTAACTAATTTGTCAATATCTTAACATGTGCATTCAGAAAACCTACTTTATTATATAATGGACTTTTGACTTTAACAAACAACCCCTCACCCAAATTAGTCTGTTAAATTGAGGATTTAATGTAGAATCAAAATAGAACATTGTAATATGCCAAATCTTAGTTTTAGGAAATTAAAACTAAATACCTTTCTTCCTATTTAAATGAATACAAAATAAAAAAAATACAGTAAAACCTCACTCATGTGACCACCTTCAAGTACAGTATACAATTTCTGACCACAAAGTGAAGTGGTCACCCAGGTGAAGTTATGAAAAACTGACACATAGAACTGTAATTAGAGCACTATACTGAATTATTCTGAAAGTTTGATACCAATTATAAAAGTAAACAAAAGTAATAATAATAAATTCTTATAATAGCGTACATCCTTTGAAATATACAATAATTCAAACTTTCATACAGGGTAACCATGGTACCATGATTAAAGAGTAAGATTCAGAGTGAGAGCTCTCAGCGTGAGTGGAAAGAACTATTAAGCAAATCTTAACCAAATATGGTGTATAAATATTACCTTGAGTATATGGTTTTGATTTTTAAGAAAAAATTTTATTTTAAAATTCAGATGCTAGGGAGAAATTTGGCACAGCTATCATCTTGACGTGCACATTATATTCATTTTTCAGGAGTTAATTTCAGGACAAATTTATGAAGTTAAGAAAGAAAAAATAATAATTTTATTTCAAATACAGATGTAATTACAAATTGTGGAATTGACATTTAATGCATGATCAGGCAAAGAAGGCACCATGACCTTTCATCTGTCAAAGAACTGTAAAGAACATTTTGCAACTGTCTTTATACCCTAAAATTCATTTTAAAAAATATGTAATATGCACATTATGGGGATAGCAGTGCCAAATTTTGAACTTTGAAGTAAATTTTTCCTGAAAAATCAAAAGCAAAAAATGAAAAAATTGAAGACAATATATCCAAATTTGATTGAGATTTTCCCAATAATTCTTTCTATAAAGAGCTCTGAATACTTACTCTTTAATTATGATCACCATATACTTAACACTGAATAACAGAAAATTGAAACACAGTGACATATATAGTGAATGCAAACTGTTTGCAGTAAGGTAGTACAGTAATATAAACAGAATCAATACCATATTATAACTATAACAGATTCAATACATTTATGAAATGGTAGTAAAGACTTTATTTAAATACTATTTTAACAAGAAAATTCACAAAAAAAATGATTAAAAAGAAGTCACTAAATACAGTATACAGAAATGTCCAAGTGTTAGAAAAAGTATTAATGATTATACTGGCTTTTACATCAGGCTCATCAATAATTTTTTTGGTATGTCACTTCACTAACAATGATCTAGACCAGTAGTGTTCAACCAAAATTGTTTGCTGGGTCAAAACCAAAAATAAAAATACACTGTGGGCCACACATATTTATTTACAACAAAACATATACAATTGTACAGTATTTTGTATGTATTTTAATTTGAAACTTGCTTTTCAATTTTTTCACTTACTGTATTTACTCACATATAAGAAGACCTCGCATGTAGGACAAGGTGTGATTTTAAAAATCAAAATAAAGATAATTAGATTTATTAATATAATTCTAATTTTATTTCATTTAATCACAAGTAAAATATCAAATAAACATAAATACATACATTGTCCTGCAAAAATTACTGGCATTTTAAACTTTAAGGAAAAATCTTGTAAAATTGACAACATAATTTGTTCATGTAAAGCTGGACAATCGGAAACCCTTTTTTTGCCAATTCTTAACAGTCAAATCCACTCTCCGTTGATTACACTTATGAGTTTCTCTGAATTCTGATTTCCAGATAATCATCTGTTTTCATATGGGAATGGATTAAAACTTATATCGGGCTCCTGTGTGATTTTGGAATTTCAATCTGGAATTCAATTCAAAAGCTTTGCTATTCCTATTGGTATTCATCTTTACTCCTGACAATATACAAGAACGATTCAAACGACCCAGATAAAATACTTATGTTTTTAAATACAAGACGGTAAGCATCCTGTAAAAAATGAAAATACACTGTTCACAAAAATTATTTGCAAAAACACAAAGAATCTTTCACTCACACATATAGAACAACCTAGGAATTTGAAGCTGTGGTAAATGAATAAAAACCTTGAAAACCTTGTCTTATATGTGAGTAAATACAGTCATTTTTTAATGTCAAGAGATATTTTTAACATAATTGGTTTTTTAGAATTTTTATTGGTCTATCTATTATGACTTTTATATTTAACAATCTTCAATTTTGAGAAAAAGATTCACAAAGATAGGTGATTCCCATTGCAGCTGTAATGTTCATCATATTTTTTTTGGGTTAGGGAATGTATCATTACAGACGTATTTTGTATAAAACTGAACTTTGTTATTGGCCTCAAATATATATTTCAATTCAGAAGATAAGTGAGATCTATCAAATATATCTGCAAATTTGTTGGAGCTTCTTCCAGAACAATGTCAAATGAACATAAGAAAATATTAAATATATTCTCAAATTTTTAAATATGAAAATCTTTTAGTTAGACAGAATTAGATATCATAATAAATAGGGTATAACAATTTGCAGGGCTTATCACACCAAGGCCGACAGAAAGAAGGACCAGAACTTTTATAAAAAAAAAGGGTAGGTCTTTAATAATCACATTTCAAATTTAGGTAAGTATGCATTTTGGGTACAAGGACCCCTCATCAGCTTACAGACACATGGTAACAACATAACAACTATAACACCAATAACCAGCCAATACGACGGAATAATCAACATATGCAGTGCACTGCATTTACAATTTCTCAATGTAACCCATACACTAAAAACTAAAATATCAAGTATAAATTTGAATACAATGACAATGTGGTATAACATATTTGAATTTGGAAAATGTAGGAGAAACTAAGACATTTACTGGTCCCAGATAATATGTTATACCACATTGTCATTGTATTCAAATTTATACTTGATATTTTAGTTTTTAGTGTATGGGTTACATTGAGAAATTGTAAATGCAGTGCACTGCATATGTTGATTATTCCATCGTATTGGCTGGTTATTGGTGTTGTAGTTGTTATGTTGTTACCATGTGTTTGTAAGCTGATGAGGGGTCCTTGTACCCGAAATGCATACTTACCTAAATTTGAAATGTGATTATTAAAGACCTACCCTTTTTTTTTTATAAAAGTTATGGTCCTTCTTTCTGTTGGCCTTGGTGTGATAAGCCCTGCAAATTGTTATACCCTATTTATTAGGTTATCTAATTCTGTCTAATTTATAGTCGTGGGCCAAAAGCGTTGTTTATTATTATGAAAATCTTTCTTGAAATTCTCTTAGTAAATTAGTAATT